TCGGTCATATGAGCTGGGAGTCCTCTACGTGCCCTCTGCCTTTGTAAGAACACATGTGGACAAACAGTAGCTCTATGCTAGTATGTCTAAATGCTAGAGAGATGTTAATCATGTAATAAACATTTGCCTTGCACAAAATGCATTTGTAATCTGATACACACCTCGTTTTCATCGTTCAAAAATGTAAAAGGAAAAAAAGTATTACATATGCTGAATAACAGTGCAAACTATAAAGAGCTCATGTAGAGTAATGTGTGGTGTGATGGTTGTCTCCTTCCAGAACATGAAGACCTTCCCTGTTCACAAAAATCCATTTCCTCTGGTCTCCTCCTCCTCTGGTTTCCCTGTGCCCTTTGACCTCCCTCCCACAAGCTACTCTCCTAAAGGTACAGATATGTGTGTGTGCGTGCGTGCGTGTGTGTAAATGACATCTGAAGTCTGTTGCTCTCTCACATAGCATTTGACTCACACTTATTTCCAGTTAAGAAAGTCTGTCGGTCAGTTGCTATATCGCACTCGTAAAAGCCATCAGACTCCACTGACAAAAACATTTTACCTTGCAGAACAAGGGAGTTGCTGATCTACTGCTGCCTCAGTTGGTTGGTTTGTGTTATTGTGTGTCTTTGGTGTCAAAGACACACAATAACTGTCTTTGACGAGAGCGATATAGCAACTGTTTCTGTTTTTCTGTTTAAATGTATGTTTGCCTTTATTCTGGATAGGATAGATAGGAAATGAGGGAAATAGGTCTCAGCCGTACATGGGGCGAGAGCTCTAGTTAGCTAACCGGCACCCTGGGACTGTTTGTGTTTAAACAAAAAGGATCTTCTGCCCATTCAAAAAGTGAAACTTGGATATTATATTCATTCATTACACACAGACTGATATATTTCAAATGTTTATTTCATTTAATTGTGATGATTAAAACTGACAACTAATGAAAATCCTAAATTCAGTATCTCCGAAAATTAGAATATTAAGACCAATACAAAAAAAAAGGATTTTTAGAAATGTTGGCCAACTGAAAAGTATGAACATGAAAAGTATGAGCATGTACAGCACTCAATACTTAGTTGGGGCTCCTTTTGTCTGAATTGCTGCAGCCATGCGGCGTGGCATGGAGTCCATCAGTCTGTGGCACTGCTCAGGTGTTATGAGAGCCCAGGTTGCTCTGATAGTGGCCTTCAGCTCTTCTGCATTGTTGGGTCTGGCTTAACCGCATCTTCTTCTTCACAATACCCCATAAATCTTCTATAGGGTTAAGGTCAGAAGAGTTTACTGGCCAATTAAGAACAGGGATACCATGGTCCTTAAACCAGGTACTGGTAGCTTTGGCACTGTGTGCAGGTGCCAAGTCCTGTTGGAAAATGAAATCTGCATCTCCATAAAGTTGGTCAGCAGCAGGAAGCATGAAGTGCTCTAAAACTTCCTGGTAGACAGCTGTGACGACCTTGCACCTCAGAAAACACAGTGGACCAACACCAGCAGATGACATGGCACCCCAAACCATCACTGACTGTGGAAACTTTACACTAGACTTCAAGCAACGTGGATTCTGTGCCTCTCCTCTCTTCCTCCAGACTCTGGGACCTTGATTTCCAAAGGAAATGCAAAATTTACTTTCATCAGAGAACATAACTTTGGACCATTCAGCAGCAGTCCAGTCCTTTCTGTCTTTAGCCCAGGCGAGACGCTTCTGACGCTGTGTCTTGTTCAAGAGTGGCTTGACACAAGGAATGAGACAGCTGAAACCCATGTCTTGCATACGTCTGTGCGTGGTGGTTCTTGAAGCACTGACTCCAGCTTCAGTCCACTCTTTGTGAATCTCCCCCACATTTTTGAATGGGTTTTGTTTCACAATCCTCTCCAGGGTGCGGTTATTCCTATTGCTTGTACACTTTTTTCTAGCACATCTTTTCCTTCCCTTCGCCTCTCTATTAATGTGCTTGGACACAGAGCTCTGTGAACAGCCAGCCTCTTTAGCAATGAGCTTTTGTGTCTTGCCCTCCTTGTGCAAGGTGTCAATGGTCGTCTTTTGGACAGCTGTTAAGTCAGCAGTTTTCCCCATGATTGTGTAGCCTACAGAACTAGACTGAGAGACCGTTTAAAGGCTTTTGCAGGAGTTAATTAGCTGATTAGAGTGTGGCACCAGGTGTCTTCAATATTGAACCTTTTCAAAATATTCTAATTTTCTGAGATACTGATTTTGGGGTTTTCATTAGTTGTCAGTTATAATCATCAAAATTAAAAGGAATGAACTCTTGAAATATATCAGTGGAATGAATTTATACATTATACAAGTTTCACTTTTTGAATGGAATAACTGAAATAAATCAACTTTTTGATGATATTCTAAATATATGACCAGCACCTGTATAAAGGTAGCAGTAGAGAGGTTTAAGAGAGTGCATCATTTAGTCCACAAAACACAGATTTAAATGTGTCTCTAACATTATCCTGTCAAGTAATCTGACAGCATGTTGTGTAGAACTCGTGGCATATTGTTGCACATGGGCAGACCTAAAGATAATTGGAACTTGGATTAGTTTGTAGGTTATGTTTTTTTTTTTTAAATTCCCTAATTAAACCAAAAAAAAGGGAGCTGTATTTAAAAAAAGATTATTTTCTGTAAATTAAGCAAATTTGCTAGTTTGCGAGTATGAACGGGTTTAAAATGATGACATGGTCATCCTGATGATGCCTCCCAAAATATTATCAGACTCCCTGCTGGGGTGAAATGTAGTTGTAAAATGTTTGTAGTTTCCTAAATAATGGCAGACATCAACAAAATCGGTATATCCTGTATTTTCTTCACCATGAATAGTCGTATCAGTCAGTATACATGTCTGAGGCACGTCATTCCACTTAGAGTGAGTGAATGAATACACTCATTTTAGCAGGAATAAATGCTGCCATTTTGTCCAATGTAATGTCCCCTTTATTTATGAAACCAAAGGATTCACGTTTAATTTTACTGGCCTCTTTTTATTTTGTCTGTTTTCAGATCAGCCTTGGATCTGGAACATTTCGTACAGCCAAGCCCCCGACACTCACGGCAACATCTGGGTTCCCTCCTGAACACACACACACACACACACACACTGTACATAGAGACCTTTCTATTACTTTAAAACTAGTGTGTTTGTAACTGCCAGTACTATGCCTAGTTGTTAGTTGTCAGTAACATTTATTTTTTTATATTGTATACCATACTGTAGACTCATGTTTTCTACCATTAAATAAAATATGTCAATATTGTCCAGTTGTGATGTTTTGCACCCTCAATTAAATGTGCGTAGCTCATTATTTTTGGTAAACATTTCCATTTATTTCTGTTACTTAAATTTTGAGATTAATCTTCACTTTTTTACATTAGGCCTATCCAACAAAGCTTCATAACATAGACAAACAACATAAAATAATGAACAAATTTATAATATACTCAATATGAGGAAACATAAGTGGTGTGTTTGCATTAGCGATATTATCAGTGATTGTGATTTTTATTTGTTTTTACTTTTTAGAAGCACAGCAAGCCACCGAATCATCAGAAGGGAGAGACCAGATTTTACCTTAAATGTGTCCAGAGGTCAGATGCGATCTTATTTTGGCTTAATGCAGCAGATTCAGCATCTTACTGCATTCACCCGAGACCCTGCAAGAATAGACCACTCCTTTGAAATCACAAAGTTTCATCACTGTTCTAATATAGTTAGTAAGTTTTTATCATGTTCAAAAACAGATATGAATAAATGATATAAACTTTATAAAACAGATACAAACTTGTATTGCAAACACTACGTGTGTTGTTTGATTATACGTACAGTATGGTCAGTTAATTATCTATCCTTGCATTCAGCAGCGGTCAGGACCCACTGCACTGCAGGTTTTCTAACTTACCACATTGCTAATTGTGTTCCCATTGTCTCCCTGGTGTTGATTAGCCAGCTGGAATGCAAACCTGTAGGGTTCTGTGTAATGAGTACAAGCGCCACTGATCTAAGGAAGGGCCATATCTTCTGCTCCTAACACATTGTTCTGGGTAAAACAGTTCTACGACCCTGTGGTCTGCTCCAGAGGAGTCACAAGTGGGATAACTGTCCCTGCACTGTATGCTCTGAGTGCTGAAATTGACATTTTTGCCCTAAAGTCACACCAGAGCAGCAATCCAAGTAACCCACTGCGACCATCCACCAGTGTGTCCCTGAGCAAGACACTTAAGCACTAGTTGCTCCAGAGGCGTGCGGCCTCTGACATATATGGCAATTGTAAGTCACTTTGTATAAAAGAAAGAAGAACTAAGTGAATAAATGTAATGTAAAATAACTAAACGGCTTGCCCGTGAGCTGCTTGAGTTAGCTCATGCTGTTGTGACATTAGGTTAAAAAGAACCCTATCTCTAACTCTGTGCACGGGCTGAGGGTTATGTTTAGGTTATGTAGGCTGCCCATTTGATTCAGAGAACACCACTGATTGTCCTGATGAAATACTCTCAAGCTGGTGAAAATGTTTTATATAAAGAAACTGTGTGACCTGGTGGTTCTAGTTAGTCAAAGGTCACAGAAGCAATTCTGTGTCCACCTCTGTGTGGTTCCAAGTTTTGCAGCTCTGATTGTACATAACAAGTCACTTGGGAGAGCTTTTGAGTATAACTCAACTGGCCTGGGGTGGCCTGTTTTTAACTTTTCTGAATTTTGTTGAGACACTACCCTTTTTGTGTTTGTGTCACACCTTAATGTTTACATACATAAAATAAGGGAAATTGTGAAAAAAAACTGTATCAAAAGCATCTGAAGCTGCTTATTATAATCATCCTGAGACACAAGCAAAAATCTGGGTGGACAAAACATTAGAAACGATAGAGTTGAAGTAACACCTATCTGGCACTGTCAACAAACGCGAACAACAGCGCCAGGTGTGCCTAATAAACTGGCCGCTCTGCGAGTACAGTAAGTTCTGTAAACTGCGACTCCCGACGTTCCTTGCGTCATTGTGTCAACATGGCGCCTGTCTGCCGGACAAAAGGCGAATCTGTCTGACGGTGGATTGAAACCCAATTAGAAACAGAGGAGACATTTTGGGAAAACTGTCAGTGTCCGTGTGTCCCGGCGCCCCAAGGCTGTAGATATATGGTAAAATAAGCATCTGCGGAGGCTCTTGGACTGGAATATTAAGGTAAGTTAAGTCCTGCAGCTCCAGCTACTGCTGTCTTAAAAGGGGTCCTGCTGCTAGCCCGATACATTTGCTTTTCTGTGTGTGGTGATACTGAAAACTCCATAAAAATTTCGGTTGTGCTGCGCTGTTTGACTTGGCGGTTAAGATTCACACTACCTAAACAGATCTTAATGGTGTCGTCTGAATAATAAAGAGTCAGTCTGTAATTCGGCATGCACGTAGTTCACCAAGAAACACTTAATCAAACACACAATGTCAACTTTTCCAGTTGGTCCACAATGCTGGCTACCGCGGTGCCCAGTGGAACATTGTTTTAGTAGAGTGCGATAATTACAGTGAACAACAGGCGATCCAGTAAGTTAATAACATGTACTATTATGTTGTGCGTGGACTGGGTTAGTTTGACGTTGTAAGGTATATGCGGAATTGAGGAGTTGTTCTTCATTAGCCATGAAACGTCTGAAGACACCCTGTCGGAACATGCCTATTTTTCTAGAAGCGGGGCAAAATTAAGATATTTCCCCCCCAACGTGATTCGAAAGTCGACATTTCAGTACAACTCTGCATCGGGGCTCCAATGACATCTGAGGCCACTACAGTGTAGTGTCCCTGCCACATGAGCCAGCTCTTCTTGCTTTGTTGAATTTCGGGTTCCAAGGCCAGTTAAAAAGTTGCCTACTGTAATTAAATGGCTTTTGTCTATGTGCGCAGCTGGCTCATGTCTGCAACCAGGCTACGGCGTTATGCCACGTCTGGTTAGGATCTTAGGTAGGTCACTGGTTCCAGGAATAGTAATACAGTTTATCTTGGTATTTTCTTGCATGATGTGTAGTTTGTCTGGGATGTCTGAGGAGTGAACCAGATGGTGACACAAAGCCTCAACCTGGAGACCGTTGGACTTAATGTATTACACTCCTCTGGAGATTCTGTTGAAGTTCTCTGCTTCACTGGGAGGTCCAATATCAGGTCAAGTTTAGCTACAGAGCAGCACCTGGAGCTGGTAGGCCCTTTGGCTTTGCTCAAGGACACTTCAGCATTGTTTGAGTTTGAAGGGCACATTACTTTTTGAGTGACACTGTTAAAGTGTTACCCTGGGTGTGATTTAAGTTTTTTAAATCTGTGTCCATACTCCTGTACTTTGTCTTCCTGCAGTTGCTGCTTAGCAGAGATCTTAGTTGAGCGGTGCCAGTCAGCACTATTTGATTACTACTCTGCCCCTACTTGCGCGCGCGCGCGCGCGCGCGCACACACACACACACACACACTGTCCCAGCCTCATATAATCACGCGTACTTTTCAGCTAATGTAATTTACCACCACAAATTCCAAAGCTGCTGTCATCAATTAAAAAACTAGACCATGTAATGTTCTTCCAAAAATACTCTGGCAGTATTTCTTGGTTTCTTTAAAATGATTCAAAACTACAAGATAACATTTGGTGTACTTTGAAAAGGTATATCTTGTCCTTCCTGTACTAGTTATTGTATTACCGAAGTGAGTGTGGCTGCTGGAAAGGCACCATGGACATAGTGAGAAATATTAGTGCCCACCAAGGTGGCTGGGTCATCATTCCAGATAGAGTGGAAAAAATAAAAGGTCAAAGTCCAACTGATCTGGCAGCCACTGTGGCAAATACAGTACAAGAAATGTTGGTTGTCTACCCTGAAATGGTTTGCTAATAATTATAAATAATAATTAGTCACCACTGTGCATCTAAAAGCCACTGTGTCTTCTTACAGTAGTACCACCTTTTTAAAAGAACATTGGTTTCCTGCCAGAGTGGCTGCAAGAGACTAACTTGGCAGACAGGTTAGGCCTAAATGCCTTTTTGTTTTTCGTTGGTTTTGTCATTTCTTAAAAAGCAGTCAAAAGTTTTGGCCACTCATTGGTGTATAAGTAAAAAGTATGCCAGCTCCCTTTCAGAAAACCTAGCATTTTTGATTAGACGTGTGTTTTACCTTTCTGTAGCTGGAGATGTTGGTGATAAGAGATGGGGAAATAGAGGTCAGGTGTCTGCAGAGTTCAAAGCCATTCTAGTCAGTACGCTTCAGGGCATCTTCTTGAAAAGCTGCCTGGTCTTATATGGACCTTGCACTTAGATGCATCTTGTTGCCTTTGATCATTCTAAATGTGTCTCTAGATTGCATCTGGCAAATTAACACACACACATGGACATGCGCGTGTTGTAGTCCTCACAGTTCAGTGTGTAGAGCAACAGTAGACGCCACTGAATCTCATCATTATGGACATGGAAGTGGTTTGGAGCCACCATGCCTTGCTTAGATCTAAGATCTAAGCAAGGCATGGTTAATTTAAAATGGGGCCTGGGGTTTGGGGCGTAAGTACTCATTTAGTGATTTTTGTTAATTACATTAGTTTTGTAAAGAACTGCAACAACTGTGAAGTAGACTGTAAAAGACTTAATAAATACTACACTGAAATAAGTAAAATAATTGAATTGTTTATTTGCAACAAAATATCATGAACTGAGGCCAAAAACAAAATAGTTGATTATCATTTTGCAGCTCTGTATCGATCCTGTGTATCAGTCGAACTTTATGCGGCGTGAGTCATCCTCTGCAGCAGTGAGAGAAAGTATGGAGCTTGGCTGCCTGAGATGTAAATTTTTCTTGGCATTTTTCCCAAGACGTGCGCACACACCAGACACACACACACACACACACAGACGCACCCAGATATACACACTCCCTTTCACCCCCCTTCTCTATATAAGTGCTGCTGATTTTGATTCTCTGCTGTGGCCTGTTTTCCCTCTCTGAGTCGGCATCAGAAAGAAAAGCATCAAGACAGATGCGTTCTCTCATTTCTCTGTTTATCTTCCTCTCTCGCTCTCCCTGCTTCTCTCTCTCAGTTCAGTTCAGTGACTATTACTATGACAGGTTTTTTTTATTTTAGAAATGACACAAAATCTGTGCACACATACCATACATTACATTATGTGGGTAACACTAAAGGAATAATTGGGTTGAAAATGTATCCACTATAATAAATAATAAAAGTCTTAGTCTGGAGGAATGCACATCATATCTGGATAGCAGCTGCTGAGCTCAGATGACTTACAGTGTGTGTGTGTGTGTGTGTGTGTGTGTGTGTGTGTGTGTGTGCTGTAAATCTGCAGGCAGGAAGCAAACAGATGTGACTGTACTTCCATTTTGTACTGTGATTGTCGCTAGTATTTTTTCCTGGGATGTCAAGCACAGTGGGTAAAGAAAGGTCACTAATGAGCTAAAAAATGTGTCCATTAATCAGTAGTAGAACATGTAGATTTCTTATTGTATTGGGCCCCATTTTTGAGGCTGTCTGTGGCCATCTTTTTTTAAGCCATAGCCACTCAATGTAGCTATTTGCATTCTTTAATTGCCTCTCTACAGTTTAAAGTAGTTTATAGTATAGAGTTCTTTGTTTAGTATTACCATGTTGGACTTCACTGCCACCGGCTCAGGTGAATAGCACAACAAAAACAGCAGGATGTGAATCACGCTGCCAGTGTACACACTAGGAGTGGGAATCTCTAGGCACCTCACGATTCAATTTGATTACAATTCAGAGGGCTAAAATGCGATTTATAAAACGATTATTGAAACAGCTTTTTTTTTTTTTTTTTTCAATAAAGGATTTCCTTTTGTCTCACTGTGTGATCTCTTGGTACTTTTTAAATCAAAGCATTTGTAATGATTCTACCAAGTAGGTAATAATGACGTGGCTAATTAACATTACTTCCTGTAAATTTAGAAAACTTGACATAGCAGCCAAAAAACATTCTGTTAGCTTTCCTAATCAACTTCCAGACCAGAGTCTGAATCCCAGTGAGATGTTAGCTAGCACTAACCAACACTTTCCAACAGTTGGGGAAACAACAGACGGACTTTTATTAATGGACACACTGTCTTTTTGTTGTTTTTTGGGGGTAAAAATGTTAAACTAAAGAAAAACATCATACACACATGTCTATTTTAAAGTATACTATAAATGACGTACAAAAATGTAACCATACATGTATATTATGCTTGTGCCATTGCAGTGAACCACACTATGCAGTATGTATTGATGCAGTATTTGGTATGTTTGCCAGCTAAAACTCATATTTCAAAGGGAACAATATTTCTAATTAAAGTAATATTCTTATTCAAAACACTAATGACTTACATTTTGATAACAAATGAGTACTTATCTATGGAAGCCGTAAGGGGCCATCCATTCAGATATTTTTATTTAATTCCGTTTTCCTGTGATAACGGGATAATTATCTCCTGATCTCGAGATTAAATTATCCTAAAGAAACGCGCCTGCCCACCCATGCATTCAGTCATGGTTTATCTTGAGATCACAAGATAATTATCCCGTTATCATGGAAAAAACAACAGTCGTTATCTCGAGATCACGAGAAAATTATCCCATGGGAAAAAGCAGTAAAAAAATAGTTGAATGGATGGAGAAACTAGCCAGAAAGTGCTGGATTTTGAAAGTATCCAACAGAGAAACTCCCACCCCCTCCCTTCTGGGCTCCTTCCAAAGCCACGCTGAATGCGCGTTGCCGACACCACAGGAGGACGAGGACAGTGACTAGCGGAGTGCAGCGGCTCACATCAGGGGTAAGAAAACATCTACCTTTAACATTATGAAAATAAACAACTAACCCTGCTGTTAGTACTAACTATCAAGCTAGCATGTTATTATTATTGTTGGATAGGTTTAAAAAGACTGGCTAGCTAACTGTTAGCAACAGGTAGCTGTGCTAACAGCTGCGGTAACATTGGGCAAAGCTAAAAACAGGCTACACATTTTCCCGTTTCCATCAGTTACACTACACAAACGTGTATTTCGTGTTAGACTCATAACATGTACGTTGTTTTGCATGTTAGAGCTTCCAATATGACAGCATTAATGTCTCTGAGGACTGCACCCCAGAGCCAAGCACAAACTGGGACAGGCCCGGGGTCGAGGCGAAGCAGAGGAGGGAGGGCTGCCAGGGTCCGAAGAAGAGGCAGGACGGGGAGCACGAGGTGCAAGCCAAGGAGCACATCTTCTAGGACCTGCGTCGAGCTTCACGCTCCAACAACAGCATATAAACAGGTATAGCTATACATATATATTTTAATATTAGTCTATTATCTCCCAGTGTACTTGTCTCAAAGTTTCTCTGGTGTTTCCCCCTAAGCCCTTTGACTGTCAAAAATAAAGTGTTATTACTTTTTTATTATCGTTTACTGATTTCAACTAACTACAGCTCTGCTTCAGCCATCGACTCCTCTGTGTCATGTACATTGACCTGGTGTGTAATGTAGACACAGAAGTCCTGTTGGTGAACAACAAACCCCTGTTCAATAAAAATATCTGATCATGGTGATGAATGTTCTGTCCTATTACACCGATCTTTCCAATTTGGGGTTCTAACAACTATATATTCCTTTACAGGCCAGAATCTGAGGACTGTGGGCAACATCCAACATGGCTGACCTTCCAGACCCAGGACAGAGTAACAGACAGTTCAGTCAGGCAGCATAGACAGTTTATAGTGTGGCACTTGGTCACAGAGTCGTGATACTAAGTTGCTGTTTCTGGAAGATATGCAACTGTTCTCCTGATCCACGAGGACAATACAGAGGTTTAATCCTAGCAGGGTGTAAGATGTAATGTCACCAACTGCTACACAAAATAATTCCCTCCACTGTGTGAATGAATACCTGTACATTGTTTTCTTTTTATGTGCAGGAGGGTAGAGAAAATACAAAGAGATTTTTCCCTGTTCTGGATAATATTTTCATTATTTTTTAAATAAAACATTGAAAATGATAAATGCCTTTTCTTTACACTTGGGAGCATAAATAATCAAGCAACTACCTTTATGTCTTATGTCTGAAATAATGACATCCAAATGTGGTATAACACCTGTTTATTGTTATTATATACTACTAAAACTACAACCTATATCACAAATTGATCATTTTTAAAACCTCAATAAAAATAAGTATATACAGGAAGAGACAAGGTGTGTCCAGATGTATCTTGACTGATTATGAAGACAGTTCAGACTTTACTTGTAGCATCGTATCGCTACTGTGGAGATGATTAAATATCAGTCACCTCTTTGACATGATTACCACATTTCAAAACCAACCATATTACTTTTTTTATATTTTGCTGTATCTAGCAACACAGTTGGGGCAGGGACACATGACTGAACCCCATGTTGACGGGGATCATCAGGTTTCCTGGTTCTGCTTCTAGGCATCTCCTCAGTAGTAGACAACCGGGGGAGGAGGAGGAGGAGGATGGCACTCTGGAGGTCTGCGATGTAACTGTAGTCCTTCTCCACCTTCAGTCCACTTCATGGACTTTTTGTTGTACACCTTGCTGTACCTCATAATACAGAAAGGAGGATCAGCTTAGTGAAAAGTTTGTAATACCTGACATTATTCTCTTATACTGTAGTTAGCATTTCCACATAAAATGCAATCAAAACAATAAATCAGCACCATTTATCTGTATTCCTCATACTGTTAAATATTTACAATATTTTTTGATTCATCACTTATAAATCTATTGAGTAAAATGCATAGGAGTACTCATAATGCAACATACTGAATTGTGTCATAAGCTTTTTTCTCCTGGCTGGACTGTGGACATGGTGGTTGTGATCCAGGTCAGCCAGCATGGTCTGATCAGCGTATACTGGTGAGAAGTACAGGGCTATGAAAGACTCCAAATAAAAATAAAATATATATATAACATAAAGTTAGGTGTAAATATAGTATAATAAACCTATATGGTGAATAACTAAACCAGCGCAGTCTACACTTACATTGTCTAACCTAATGTTAGCGTCGGAAAACACCGCTCACGCTGCTGTTTTCCAGCTCACCTACAGCTAGCTATAATTCATCGTCTCTACTCTGGCTCCTACACCAGCCTGCAGTCGTAGCAACAGTTAGCTGTATGCTAAGTAGGTAGCTACGTTTGCTAGCGATGAAAGTAACAAATTACCATCAAAATGATAAAGATTACCTGTCCAGCAGAAATAAAACCACCACGGTGCAACTTTTCAGCCCCTTGGTGTTCCTCAGTTGTGGGTCATTATCGTTGAAAAGCCACGCAGATATCACCTCTGGTCTGACCGCTTCGCTCGTCAGGTCTGAGCGAGCTGAGCGGGTGCGCGCACGGGGGCAGCTCCTGTAGCAGCAGGGCTGGTAGCCATGGCAGCGAGGGAGATTGACAGCCAGCCAGCCAATCATTGCATTCGGTCCGAATGAAACGAGTGTCCGTGTTTACTGCAGCCCTGAGAGGACTACAGACAGCCGGTTTTTATACTCTCTTTTTCAGAGCACCTAACTTTTCAATATGCATTGGTGTTTAAAGACAGTTTCAACAAATATGACAAAAAGTGTTTCAGAAGCAACTTTGCTACCATGCCTTTAAGCGCCAGAGGCTTTGTTGATGATGTGAAGCGGTTGCAGTTTGGTTGGGTTTGGGCACCGAAAGTACTTGGTTATGGTTAGGAAAACATCGTCGTTTGGGTGTAGTCACTGAATCTGATAGGTCACAGATTTTGGTGTTACACCTGTGGCCTCCGTTTTCCATTGCAGATAGTACCCAGAGACAGAGACCCTTATGTAGCTGGTCGTCATAGCGACGCCACACAACTGCCGCGACGTAAAGTTCAATGCGACACACAAACAGCTGTCTCTTGATTTAAGTTTAAACGTTTCAACATTACCCAGAATGTAAAGACAGGTAAGACGGAGGTGATACGAAAAAAAGTACCTGATAGCAGGTACAAGTACAACTTTTACACAATGGAAAACCAAAAGAAAGGCGAGTAGAGTCGAAGCGAGTCGAGCTGGTACCGTGCAGTGGAAAATGGGCTTTACCGTCTCTCTCTCTCTCTCTCTCTCTGTATGTCTGCTTCGGTGACTTTCTCCATCAATAGTAGGCTAGGCTGTCTAAAGTCACCTCCCGTAATTCCGTAGGCTTTAACAGTGTCTCCCTCTGTCTTGTTAGGAGACTGTAGTTAGACGGCTGAGTGCAGACGCAGAGGGAGGGGCGTGATGGAGAGAGAGAGGAGCAAACGCTGGCAGGACTTTAGGAAACATTTATTAACTCAACATCAAACTATCTGTATAAACGGTATTGTCTAATCTTATCTCTTTTGAAATTATATCGTATACCTCATATACCGATATACCGCTCAGCCCTATATGTGCCTCTAATATATGACTCCTAAATTGAAATTTGTTAAATGCAACAGATTTATAGATACAAATGACTCTACATTTATCTGTGCTTTGTTTTACATTTGTTTGTGACTACTTTTGTGAGACTGTTCTAATAAGTAAAAGAAGGAATTGTTCCACAGCACTACTTGTGGTCAAAAACTCCCAGAATACCTTTCAAGTAGTATATTTTAGGTTAAAATTATTTACAGCAAAAAGTTCTAAATTGTATCAAATTAAAAAAACAGTGTTGGATAGTATGCAGTGTGTAGTGCTCCATGCAGCTGTTGAGCTGTCTGAAATGTATTTATTTTAACAGGGAAGTCCCATTGAGACACAATCTCTTTTACAAGGGAGCCCTGAAATACAATCCATACAATCATAGTACTTTACTATTTACTACTACTATGGGATGTTTTACATCTAAAATCCTATTCTGGATAGTAACTATTACCTACAGCTTTGAATAACTGTAATGAATTAAAATATATGACATTAGCCTCCAAAATGTAGGGTACTAATAGCGACATCTTACAAGTTGGGAATACTTAAGTGAAGTACAGCTGCTTCCTGTGCAATGTACTGATTTACTGAGTGTCTTTTCATTTTTCTTTAATGGTTTTGTTATGATTCCCTCCAGGATGTTCCAGCAGAGTGAGGAGCCTCGCTTCACCATTGAGCAGATCGACCTCCTCCAGAGGCTAAGGAGGACGGGGATCACACAGGTGGAGGTCCTCCATGCCCTGGACACACTTGACCATTTGGACCGGAAACATGGACACAAGTTGACCCATAAACCGTCCTACATGCCTCCCTCGTCTTCCAGCACCGTTGCCGCCTCTTCCTCCATGACTTCCGCCGCCACTCAGACAAGTTTCCCCAACAACCGATTCTCACTGTCCCCTAATAACAACTTCGACACCACCTCCCCGCCTCTACCAATTCCAGTGGCCTCACCTGTCGTCATTTCAGCTGTAACTCAGAACGGTCTAGTTGCTGTCACCAATGGGAAGCTGTCACCGCCCAGATTTCCTCTTGGCGTGGTTAGTGACAGCGTGACGACACCAGGCTATGGGTTTGAGACCAGTGAAGAGGACATAGATGTTGATGATAAGGTGGAGGACTTGATGAGGTAAGACTGGACCAGATTTTTCTTAACAGTGTCGTTCTATAGTTTGCCCACCAGAGAGTAGTAGTAGTAAGTTTAATTTTCATCCGTAAAATACAGTACATTTCTTGGCCAAGAAAGCTAATTTAAGCTAACTTAAGAGAGCCTAGTCAAAAATGTTGTTTTTATTTTTATGGTATGGATTGTGTAAAGAAAATTAATGCCGGTCATTATATTGGATTTTTGAAGCTTTCAATTATGGATCAGCATTGACCTCAAAACTTCCGTATCGTCGGGCTATAATAGTTATTATAGAAATATAGTAATTATCCCCACGCACAACACAGACACCGTAGCTTAGAAAAAATGTTGTGCCACCGTTACCAGTTTTAGCTCCTAGTTAGCAAAAACTGATAATGTATCTATTGCAAACAGAGGAAAGGCCAACAAAGCATTAACTTGTGTGTATTGGTTGGCAAAATGAAAGCAACATGCATTGTGCATGCAATACATCCAACATCACCTCCCCCGTTCTTCATCACTCCTATTGACTTTTGCCCTGTCTGTAGCTCAACGCACAGAGCCTCACCTTTTGCACTCAGGTTTTTGTTTCCATTTAACCTACTCAGCTGCACCTTACTTTATTTTTATAGTCTGTATATATTGTTGTTTATTCTATTTATAGTTTTTAATGTCTTAAAATTTAATTTTATCTATCTATCTCTGTCTCTATCTACAGTATCTATCTCTCAATCATGGTCTAAGCCATTGATGGTCTTTCTGTGCATTTGACAATAAACGCCTTAAATGTTGAATCTATGCGCCAGCCCCGGGCTACCAACAAACATTAGCCTGTTGCTGACAGTACCAAAGAGAGGTGCTCAGGGCAAAGTCACATTCTGCAAACTGTTTTAGAGCTGTCGGATTCCAAGTCCTGTACCGCTGTGACAATAATTAGTACTTAAAATTATGATAATGTTGATATCAAAAGGGAATATGTGACAAACCCACTGATAACTTATACAGTAGATCGCTGCTCTAGAGAACAGGTGTTAATACTGATGGTCGACAAGCCTGCCTGTAGCTCCCACTGAATACAATACAGGGATTGAATCCTACACACACACAAACACACACACACCCACAAACACAAGTGCCTCTCATCTGTCTGCAGTCAGACAGCAGCAATCAGAGCAGTATTGATTTGAGGGTGTGTGAAGATGAAATCCAGCCAGAAAGAGAGCAGCAAATATTACAGCAGGCTCTGGCCTCTGATTCCTGCACATATTCATCAATAAAAGCTACTGCCATTGGTGTATGTGTGGATTGCAGAGTTACAGCTGGTTTAAGTAATAGTGTTAGCTTGTGCTTTATGTGTTTAGTAATGTCAAACTGTTGGAGAGGTAAACATTTGTTGTCTTTGTGGTAAGCTGTAGATTCTCCTCTCTGCTTGTAGGAGGGATAGCGCTGTGATCAAAGAGGAGATTAAGTCCTTCCTGGCGAACAGGCGGATCTCTCAGGCTGTGGTCGCTCAGGTAACGGGTGAGTATCATCTTCATCTGCATTTCAACCAGTCCCACCAAATCAACCTCAGGAAGAGCTGGTATGCCAGCAAGCACTTAGCCTACTGACGATGCAGATCTCACTCCGTTCCTCTTCCTCCAGGGATCAGTCAGAGTCGGATCTCCCACTGGCTCCTACAGCAGGGATCAGACCTCAGCGAGCAGAAGAAACGAGCCTTCTTCCGCTGGTACCAGCTAGAAAAGACCAACCCTGGTAACACCCCTCTCAGGCCTAATCTCTTACACAACCTGTTCCACTTGTGAGAAAATACTGTCAAATAAAAGGTGTTATATGTTTTTCAATAACCAGTCAGCTACACTGAATGCATGACTGGCAGTGCTGACTTCAGTAACACCTGGAGTTTCTTAACGCTGACTGTGCAAAAATCAGGCCATTTGGACTTAGGGGGACAATCACTACTACAACATCACAGAAGTGCAAGTTATCTGTTAAAAGCATGGTTTACGATGGACAATCAGCCCGTTCTTTTCATTATTATATTTGAGATATATTCTTAGGTGGAGAACCAGTGAAAGCGCTTGTGAATAAGTCTTCAGCCGAGGAACTGTCAGCAGGAGCCTCACGCTGTGTGACATACTGAAGTGAAAATAAGCTATTAGTAAAGCTGTCTGGGGTTTCTGACTTCAGGTGCCACTCTGGCCATGCGAGCCGCCCCATTGGCTCTGGAGGATGTGATGGATTGGCACCAAGCCCCGCCTCCATTTGGCTCTGCCCCTGGGGGCTTCCGTCTGCGGCGAGGGAGCAGGTTCACCTGGAGGAAGGAGTGTCTGGCTGTTATGGAGAGGTGAGGAGGAGGTGGTGGGATGTCGGGGGAGGAGTTAATGGCAAGAAAATGAAAAGGTGGAGGAGTGAATTGGCTGAAAAGGTAAAGCGTGACGTTTAATGGGCTTTGTAATTAGAACAATGAATGGTGTGTGTGTCTGCATCTGCACAGCTTCTTCAGTGATAACCAGTACCCTGATGAAGCGAAGAGAGAGGAGATAGCCACCGCCTGTAATGCTGTTATTCAGAAACCCGGTAGGTTCCAACAGGAATTAATTAAGATAATCTGTAATACATTATTAAATTAAATTGTAAAAAAAACTTTCATTTAATTAAGAAAATACTCTTTTAGCCACTTGCCTCACAACTGCAAAGTAGGCATATGGTTGAATCCATGTGGAGAATAGGGTCTGGTTTCATTTGACAACTTAAATATGTTGCATATTAAAAAAATGAATGTGTCTAAAAGCAGTCCTACCATAACTAACATAATACATAACTTTGTATTACTTCGAAGATACTTTCTGACCAATTTAACTAAATATGTGTGAATGAGCCTTCAAAAACAACCACAGGGAGACAAATGAAGGAGTAGAGGACAGAGAAGCAAAATATGTGATTAGTGTGTGTGTTCTGTGTGTGTTACAGGAAAGAAGCTGTCTGATTTGGAGAGGGTAACATCTCTGAAGGTCTACAACTGGTTTGCCAACCGCCGCAAAGACATCAAGAGGCGCGCTAACATTGGTAATATCTACCTCTCAGTAATTTATTAGTCGACTAGTCACGATTAAATTTGTCACACCCTAACCATAACCCGAATTAAACCATTTAACGAATTAAACACACAGCCTATCTAGCTAACGTTACCATTAAGTGAACAAGGTTTACTATTCAGAATGAACACCAGTATCAACGTCAGGGGGAAACCAGGGAAGAAGACAAGACAGCGTAGGATACTCCTATAATTCACTGATTTATGATTGCACTTCAGTTGTTTGCTAACACAACTAAAAGAATATAAAGAACTATGGAGAGGCTCCTCCAAGATAACAGCCAGGCTTTATCACCCAAAACAATAAGCTCTTAATCTGATTTATTGCCAAGTAGGTTTTAACTTTAAAACTTTTAACTTCTCAATAAAGATGCTTTGGAACGACTGTAAAACTTCAATTAATAGTCAAGTCCCAAATAGCCACCTACCCCATTTACTGGCCTGGTGTGGGAACTTATTTTGACAAATAAACACAGGTCTCTATTAAACGCCTGGTCTGTTTTTTATAGAAGTTCTTTGGATGTATAAAACCTCTTAAACCCTGTGTAGTCGCCTGCTTTATCTGCTTCTAAGCTGCTTAGATGGTTAAAACAAATATTAATGTTTAAACATATGATCAATATGTCAGTATGAACATGCTACACATAGTTAGATCGGTTAGATTCTCCACAATTCAATTGTTAAGTTCATTTGATGAACTTATAGGCATTACTATTATATTATGAAACAACAAGCCTCAAAGTATAATTCTTATAGATTTACTGGTGTAACCTGCACGGTACAAGAGATGAAAAGAAAAGTGCCGACTTGCGTTACTTTTGAAGCGCTCCTGAAGTCCGCTCGTTAAATCCGAATGTGTTCGTTCCTTTAGTCTGTAAGGGTCCACCAATCAAAAGAATCAAAACAGCTTTTCATAAAAATTAATCCAAGTTGTGAATCCTGTCATGTGAAGTCCATCGCTCTCTGTCTGCTAACTTCTCTCATCCTGCACCGTGTTGTCGTTTTCCTTACGTTGCTGCCTTCAAAATAAAAGCGCATAAGCCGACAGTCGGAGCTAGATCAAATGAATGATGTGTATTTGATATTATTGGATAATTATTATTAGGGCTGACCCCAGTAGTCGAAGATTCGATGCTTCAATGGGCGGAGCCTGATTCGACTGTCAATCTCACAGTCGAAGCTTCGCAGCGAAACAAGGATCATGCCATTTTGGCGACATGTACTCAATGTCTGATTTTACATAGAACTACCAGTTTTCTCTCAATAAGTTAATATACAGCCTATTGCAATATACATTTACACGTTTAATGCTGTAAATAAATATGTAAAAAGAATAAAACATTCAATAAATGTTTTTAAAGTGCGTAAATAAATCCAAAATTGTAAGCCTAACCCTGGGTCGTCAGTGCGCATGTGTAGGCGTAGCGTGTGTGCAGTGGCAGCGGAGGAACGCTTGCTGAAGAGACGGAGCCCCATCTTCGTGTTTGTGTTCGTGTCTTCGAGTTGTTCGCACCTCGTGGGACTTTCGGATAATTTATCACCGTTGATGAACCACACAAAGAATATTTTATCGTTTTTAAACAGCCGGCTACTTGACGTGCATGCAGTTGTCGGCAGCACGGCATACACGCAAAACTCTCTGTGTGAGAGAGAGAGTTTATTACTCTGGAAATGTATAGTGTAAGTTGAATGAATAGAGACTGCAGCTCTGCAGCTTCTCAAGATTAAAGCGGAGCTGCCCTGTGTAACATTGAAACCATCTTTCAGTTGTGGCATTTCCTCTGTCTCTGCTGCTCTGTTGTTGCTGGGCTCTGGGGGCGGGACTGGCCGCCTGCTGACCACTAAACCCACCGCCGCTTGTGGAGCTTCTCAACCCTGAAAACATTTGAGCACATTTTCGATTCAACGTTCGTAAAACTGCCAATACTCAAATGCTACACAGTTGATCTCTCGCCTCAAAACCTCTCAAAAGTGTATTTAGTAATTAAATAGCGTACAAAACTTGTAAAAACAAAGAAAGGTTCTGCTGTTAGCCTCTTTCTCCATTACTTTCCGCTGCTTGCATGAATGCTTCTTCTTCATGAGTAGTCTTACAGTCAAGCAGTCATGGCAGACAGTGGAAGCGAGACTGTCCTTATATCCCCGTGTGCTCTGCTAGAATGTCAAACAGTCTCTAAATGAATCAGTACACACATAAAGGAGCTTTTACTCTGTAGTACACATCCTTGTTCCTTGCTCGCTGTATCATTCAGCCAACACTTAGATGCCATCCTGCTCGTCACAAACACTCGGAAATTCTTCCTTTAGCAGTTGTATGATTGGTTATGTTTTTAACCAGCCGTAGTAGCAGGGTGTTGCTCTGCTCTAAAAGAGCAGCTTCTCACGTCCGTCATTCTCACTTGGATGAAGGATGATGCAAGCCAACACTCACTGTTGACTTGCATCTGAGTGTGTTGTTGTTTGAGGTCGATATGCTATGATGAGGTTTGTCTTTTTGAAGAAGCAGCCATCTTGGAGAGCCACGGCATTGAGGTTCAGAGTCCAGGAGGTCAGTCCAACAGCGACGAGGTGGATGGCAACGACTTCCCTGACCAGGTGAACTAGATGCGGACAGTAAATGAGTTATAACTGCTCAGTAACAGACAAAGCCTCTAACAGAGCTGTCCAGTGACAACAGAGGATGACGGTGTTTGCACTGAGCAGCTCAGAGGTATGAATGTGTGGGACAGTGGGGCTCGGTAAACATTTGGTCAGAAAAGTTAAACAGTGTGTGAAACATTACAAAAGTTTGTATTGGCTCCTGTTCGTGTAACTGGTCAAATTTTCATTTAGTCACACATCTGATGTTTACAGAGGCTTTCTGTGTGGTCAGCATACATTTCTACATTGCTGAGATTATAAATAACTCAGAGGTCACAGTATTATGACACTATTCTTGTGACCGTCAAATGACCTGGTTATTGTGTAACCTCTGTGCTGCTCTGCCACAGGGTTGTGAGGTGTCCTTATTTGACAAGAGAGCTTCAGCGAGGCAGTTTGGTTTCAGTCGAGCTGACCTGTCCTCTCCAACCCAGGTACAGCCTGACTACAGACGCACTGCCTCCTCACTGTAACTGCATTTATAAAAGAGCTTTGGCTTTCAGATGAAGAGACGAGGGCAGATTTACAGGAGAAAATCCAGATTGAGCCAAACGTCTACTAATCGTTTCCTTCATTCCTCCTGTCCTCACTCAGGTTCCCACGCTGCTCCCCAGCTGGTTTTCCGCCCTGGCTAGAGGAGGCATGTCTGGACAGAGGGGCACTTCTCTGATCGGCCGCTCCCTTGTGTCGGGGGCGGGCCCTCAGGTGGAAGGTTCCAGATTGACAGGTGTGTCCTGGTCTCCCCCTTCCCCCTCCCTCCAGGACGAACCCACCATTGAGCCCCAGGATCCAATCGGTTTGGAGAAGGCTGCTGTCCATCACAGCAACCAAGCCCTAGCCAATCAGGTTGATGGGACAAGATGCAGCATGGGTAACGACATCAAGACGGAAACGCTGGAGGATGACTGAAGGGTGTGGTGGATATCGGAGCTTTCGGAGTGATGAATGGAACAGGATCAGAGGTGTGTTAATATGCAAGCAGATTTTATAGGAATGTAATAAGCGAAAAAAAAAAGACCAAACGTCGTGTATACTCCAACCCTGAGATACCTCCCAACCCTACCTCCAACCACCAACCTGCTCTGCTACGCTCTTATAGGCATTACTATTATATTATGCTAACAATAATGATAAACTGTTATGTTTATTTTTAAGTGCTCCCCAGCAGTCTGTGGAAGATTTAAAATACCTAAATTAGGGATGGAACGAAATGAAAATTTATGGCTGAAGCCGAATATCATGAAAAACTTTATACCATATCATACCATACCGAACAAGGTTTTTCAAATTTATTTCCGTTTAATTTGCCATTTAACTTAACTTAATTTACCATTGCATATCCCACAGGATTTGGTGAGTCCTATAAAGTAAATTACATGTGTCCATTTACTTTTAACAGACACTGGTAATATGTTTTATACTTTCTGTGAATATAATCCAATTAATCTCACTTCCATACTGTATAGACACCTTATTTTGAAAACCAACATTGTCACATGTGTATCCTTGCGCTAAATTCATCAAGTCCGACCCAATTTGATAAACAATGTTGTATGTGGTTCTTGTATCGCGAACATGAAGACTTCATGGCCTCTCTTCAGGTAGGGCTCTCATACTGCAACACTTGTCTTTGTAAAGATAGAAAATGACAGGACACACTGTCAGCTCATACTGATCCGTTTCAGTGGATTTACCATAAAGGCTTGAATACGTGTGCACTCCAAATGTAGGTGTGGCTACCTGAATTGCCTTCTCAGAAACGAGTGACCGAAACACTCAAAGCGGGTCAGACCGTTTTTTGCCTTTTCTAAGAAGTCAGCCACAGATGGAGTGGATGTGCATGGAGACAATTCAGCAGAACAGTGTCTGCAAACGGCGACTTTTGTGTCATTCCCAGACACTTTAAAATGCTTCCACACTGCCGACATGTCAACGTCTTTTGACTTATTAAAAAATAGCATTTTCGGCCGATTAATTTTGGTGGCCAAACATTTAGTGCATCTCTAGCCTAAATCAAAACAAATCAAAGAAAGTGAATCCGTTATCGCACAGTAAATACATACATAAAAGAAAATACATAATAGTTTTTCACTTTATTTGTTGATTTGTTTTTATTTAGGCATTTTAAATCTTCCATAGAGGACGGTCTAACAGGACACAATGCATTATGCAGAAATCTTTGGAAACTGCATTTTTCACAGCAGGACAACACTGTATTTGACACGGGGTTCAAATAGTTTCAGGGTCTTGCACTGTGATCACAACACAACTGAACAGCCTCAAAAGATAAATACATGAATTTGACAGTTAAGTTCATTTTAATTAACTATTATGTTCTAATTTCTATATGTTTGTGTGTATATATATTGTATGTATATACTCCTTTCATCACAGTTGATTATATTTTAGATGTTTGCTGTTGATTCCTTTCATTGAGAAGAACAGCAAAATAAGCTTAGTTTCATCGAGGTCACAGCTTGTTGGTAATATTTCTCTGAGTCTAAGATGATTTGAAAATGTAAAAAATAGAAAAAGAATGACCCACTTCTCCACCTCCTGCCCTGGTAAAACAAGCTCAGAATATGGAAGCAAAGAAAGGCAGGAATGATTAGATTTTTGTGAGCAACTGAATACCTCATTGTGAAATTTTACCACAACTGAACACTTAATTTAAATACCACTGAATGGAGAGAATCAAAATACCTGATTTGAAAACAATCTCTGTCAATGTGTGTGGTCCCCCCTCTTTGAAATTTACAGTAGCTCACTGCAGCTTCTCCAGTTTCAATAACACAGCTCATGTGGTTTTTTGTTGTTGTTGTTTAACTGTGCAGGGTTTTTAGTCGCTCATTTGAATGTCTTTCTTGGATCACATGACAGACCTCTAACCTGATAGGCCAGAGGTCTGATCTATTCCATCACAGCCTCGCTGCTTATCCTGGGTGTCAGTGTTGCCAACTTAGCGAGTTTGTCACTATATTTAGTGACTTTTCAGACACCCTTAGCGACTTTATTTCAAAAAACCGTTAAAAAAAAAAAAAAATCAAAGTCCTTATATGCAACTCATGCCACTCCTCAGCCATTTTGGGTTCTAAACATATTTAGGGTGTTTTTAAAAAAAAATCAAAGTCCTTATATGCAACTCATGCCACTCCGCAGCTATTTTGGGAACGCCTCTGGGCAGCTATTTCGGACTAACAAGACCAGGCTCCTATCTGAATGAATGGGGAGAGAGCCAGAGAGATCTGCACTTTTACTGGTCACCGGGACATAAAAACTACATGAATAGAATCAGCAGTAAAAACTAATAAAAATCGCTGAAAAAGTTTGATGACTTAGCCCAAAAATAAGGTTTAAAAAGCGGTTTTCCCGACCGGTCCTACGTCGCATGCAACACTACTACCAAGCATGCCCATATTATTATTATAATAATAATAATAATAATCTTTATTTATAGAGCACTTTTCAAAAACCAGTTACAAAGTGCTTTCACAAGTGTAAAAACAATAAAACACATAAAAACAATTACATGCTAAAAACAAGAAAACACTTAGAATAGAATACACGTTTAAAATAAATGTAAAATATGTAAAAAAAACCAGAATCAAATAAAATCGGGAAAGGCTCTCCTATAAAAGTATGTTTTAAGAAGGGACTTAAAAGAGTTCACTGACTCAGCCGACCTGATCTCCTCGGGCAGGCTGTTCCAGAGCTTTGGGGCCCTTTAGTTTTCAGTCGAGACTCTGGACAGACAGCAGACCTCTGCCTGAGGATCTCAAGGTACGTGCTGGTGTGTATAGGACTAAAAGGTCAGAAATATAACAAGGTGAGAGGCCATGAAGAGCTTTAAAAGTGATCAAGTCCATTCTAAAACATACTGGGAGCCAGTCTAATGAAGCTAAAACAGGGGTAATGTGGTCATATTTCTTTGTTCTGGTTAAAAACCTGGCAGCTGAGTTCTGGACAGTCTGGAGTTGATCAGTAGATTTTTGGGTTAAACAAGTGAAAAGGCTGTTGCAGTAATCCGGGTGTGATGAGATGAAGGCGTGTAAAATGGTTTCAGTGTCCTTAAAAGTTAACAGATCGTATTTTAGCTATATTTCTAAGCTGGTAAAAACATGATTTAACAAGCTTTGTGGTGTGCTGCTCAAAATTTTAATTACTATCAAACCAGATACCAAGATTCTTTGCAACAGGCTTAACATGATTCACTAGGGAACCAGCAGATGGCAGTATTTGCTTTGCCATCTGCTGGGACCCAATTACTAGGATCTCAGTTTTGTCTGAGTTCAGTTGGAGGAAATTATTTGACATCCGATTTTTTACTTCACAAAGGCGGTAAGTGAACTCAGCATGCCAGGGTCTGTGGATCTGACCGGCAGATACATCTGTGTGTCATCAACGTAAATATGAAAAGAAACACCATGTTTATAGATAATATGTCCAAGGGGAAGCAGATACAAGGAAAATAAAATGGGTCCTAAGGCCGACCCCTGAGGCACACCATATTTAACTGGACAGAACAAAGAGACATAGTTGTTCAGACACAGAACTTCCTATTTGAGATACCTCTCAAATGATGGATGAAAACCATTCTTGGGCAGTACCAGAGATCCCCACCCAGTGCCTCAGTCTGTCTAACATGATGTTGTGATCAATGGTGTCAAAAGCAGCACTAAGGTCCAGGAGTACCAGGACTGAGCACATACCTTCTTAGAAGACACTCTCATTTGTGATACTGTTTTTAAAAGCTCAGACAAGTCAATGGGATAAAACTGGTTAAAACTCTCTTGTTGCCGGTGAGGGACCTCAGGGTAAGAGGAAGAGGGAGTAATATAAGCTCTGATTGACACCACCTTATCATTAAAATAAGAAATAAACAATTAACAGTCATCATTACTTCCAGCTGAGGCACAAGGAGGGGCTGGGTTTACCAGGTGATCCACAGTCTTAAACAGAAACCTGGGATTGTGTTTATGTGTAGTAATGAGTTCAGAAAAAGTGTGTTCTTATGTCAGTGGAACCACACAATTGGCTGAAATGTTTCCCGCTTTGGCTGTTAAAGCAGACAATTGGCTTTCTAGCAGGGGGGGCTTTTTGTCCCTCCCATGACATCATTCGGCTGGCGAATTATGCAAATTACACGTCAATTAGCAACTTCTAGCGACCTTTAGCACGCCAATAGCTACTTTTCTTACTGAGGAGTTGGCAACACTGCTTGGTATCCACAATACTCAAAGTTAGTTTTCCTCATGAATTTTGGTGTCTGAATTTCACCAATTCACTTGAAGTTTTATTTCAGAAAATTCATGAATTTGAGCAACTTGAATAGAGTTTTTACAACATTGAACACTTTCTGTTAAGTGTTTTTTTTATTGTACAACTTGAAATTACAGAGGAGTTTAAACCCCATAAACAGGTGGTGTCCAGATAAAATACTTAAATGCTATAAATTCAGCTGTATTGAGATACCAACAGTATTTGGTCATATTTCACAATTAGGTATTCAGTTGCTTCTAATTTAAAAAAAACAACAACTCCACTACAAAAAGGTTGATTTAAAATCCTTATGTCCTCTCTTTGCTTCAATCTTAATAGCAAGTAACTAGAAAAAGTAGTTACTCAATAGATAAATGTTGAAGGAAGCCGAAACTGTTGACAGATTTGTATAAAAACTCGAAACCCGGAAGTCCAGGTGACCGAGTATTATTGTCCACTTACCCAATGGGTGATCAGGCAGAATGAATCACTGTGAGATGATCGGTAACCAGTACAGATCAGTTAGTTGGGAGGTCTGTAACAGTGTAATATAACTGTTTAGATACTACAGATTAAAATGTAAAGTGAATAGTAGACATATACCACACGTGTGTGTGTGTGTATGCATAAACACACATACGTAATATAAAGGATATTATATAAACTGGAGGTATATATATATATATATATATATACACCCTGATCCATTTCTATTTACAGTATCTAGACGTATTAGCTTCAAATGAGAGAAAGAGTGTTTCTTGTTGGTGAAAGGTGAGTGAAGCATTAGCCAAAGTGTAAAGTTTTATTGTATACTTTCTGAGTGGATTATAGGCATGGATGGAACTATGTATTTGAAATGATATCAAAGATGCATCAGATGTGTCGAATTATTGCAAAGAAAGTGCATTTCCTTTTTAGGTATATCATTATTTGTGCTCGATATGCCATGTGTTCTAAACACACACACTATCATGTTTAAATGGTATTTTCATTTTAAATGACACTTTATTGGATCAATATCATGGTGCTTAAAGTCCCTGCTGTTTAAACATTTTATTGATCAGTATGAATGACAGACCAGAGAAAGCAGTAAGAAGAGAGAGAAATATTTTGGGAGCAGATGTGTTCCTCAGAAAGCTAAAAGTTTTAACGTTTTAGTGAGTGAGTTGCTTTCTCTAGAAACAACCACAACAAGAAGTGTTCTTTAAAAGAAAAATAAATATTTGA